ATTAAAACAGTGAAAAAATACAAAATGTAGGTGTACAGAGCAATAATCAGAGCTATAGATTGAGCCACAATGATTGCGAAAGCTTTAAAATGTCCAGAATGCCTCTTGTTTGAAAAGTGGAGACCAAATCTAAGGCAGATAGTTTATCAAGAACATATTACAGTATACTTGAGTATATTTCATTCCATTTTAACAATATACAATTTTCATTTGGTCCGATTGTGACAGATTCCAAAGAGGAAATATTTTATGAGTAAACAGTAGCATACAGTGTCACTGATGTAAAGCATCACTCTTTTTCCCTCTAGTCATTTCCATGACCTACGCCTTCACTGTAGTCAAGTCTTTGCAATGCGTCTAAAAAATGCGGGAGTAACATTCACTTATTTGATGCCTTATTTAAATACCAGAATAAGTAAACAAATGCTGTGTTAGAATTGTGGGAAACTATTGACTAAAACTTCTGAAATTCCTTCTGACTTGTGTCTTAATCTACATATAAATTAACAGCATAATGACATGACAAGTGGTTCACAACTTTGGAACTTTTGTTTGTGTTTGGGGTTTGTGAAGCATTTATTTTTAGTGTTGAACTATTGAAGTTTTTGATGGTTGTTTAGTATTCATTGTGTTGATTTGAATAGTTCGGTTTGGGTTATGTTGTTTTTGATTGAATAGATTGCAGTGTACTGTGGAAACTGGAGCTTGTACTGCTGATGTTTATTTTTGGTAAAAGTCCTATCTACACACTACACACTACACTCACACACACACACACAAACACACACAGCACCCTATGTGCACACTAGCCATCTCAGTGAGACTGTAGTGTGTGTATATCCAGTCTCAGGGCTAAACTTTAACTCACATGTACTTGATACTGTATTCTTACCAACAAACAGTATTGACCCTTTCTGATTCCTGTATGCCACACACACACACACACGTGTACCTTTTAACAGACCTGTCACAACATTACTATTCAAAAGTTTGAATCTGCTTGTTAGTTAATCATCTCTGCAACCTGGTTCTGGAGGAACCCTGCTCTGCATTTTTGTGTTTTCTCCACTCTAACACACCTCCTTCAACTTAGTAAGTGGTGGTTAGTGGGCTGATTTGGATCAAGTATTGGTGGCAGCGAAAACTCTAACATGTGCAGAGCAGGGGACCTCCAGGAAATACTAGGGGTGCTCAATATGATAATATTTATCATTATCATGATAAAGTGTGTCACAGTATGCTTCGGTGAGCATGTTGTGAATATCGTCAACTGGCCAGCTGCATGTTTCATTATAACGACAGCAGAGTTAGTACTGTTTAATTGGATTTAGTGAAGCATATAAAAAGTTAATGTCTTTTTTTTTTATAGTTTTGCTAAGGTTAAATGTGGCACAACTGTTACTTTAGCGGTTAGTATAGTGTCATAGGTAATACTGCTGCCCACCAAACAGCAGGGTGAGATTTGATTCACCGTCCGGGCAAGCACACTACACTACACCAATAAGATTCCTTGGGCAAGACTCCTAACATGCATCTGTTGCGTGATTGAACTATAAGTCGAAAGCCTTGAAGGATTGTGACGTTAAATGTTTACCACGCTGCCCACCCTTAGGAAACTACTTCAAACTGTATGCACTTGTCTGTGCTTACTAAACATTTTATGTGTTTTTTTTTTTTTTAAATAAGCAGATTTTTTTTGGTAAACATTTAGTTTTAAATGAAAATATAAATTGTGTAGATTTCACCTAAAAGCAATGAGACTTCAGTCTGAAGCCTAGATCAGCTTGGAAAGACATTTGCTTTGCACAGTATGTTCTGACAAATAAACAACAAATGTAAATGTAAACAACTAAATTGTGCAGCGGTAGTGTGAGCTCAAGGCTGTTTCACGTCTGCAGCTGACCTTGGCTATCTTGTAGCCTTGCTGTTCATGCTGTAATGCTATAATACCTCAATACAGAGGGCAGTAATCTATCAGATGAACTTTAATGCTTCTCTTTCAAGGCCAGTGGGTTATTAGTGATATTTTAGTAGGTCAAGGAACTGTTAAAGATTGATTAAGTGAGATTGTGATATTCCAGTAGACAGATACTGGATGGAAATATAAGTTGTCATATCTATTTTCTATTTATATACTTAAAAGACTGGTTCACTGAAAATTCAAGTTCACCGTTTTCCTGTTACCCCAAATGTAGTCAATCAGCCAAAACATGGTTGGTGTCTATAGAAATGGACAAATGCATGTCTTTTTTTCCGACTCCCCAAGCCGTATTCTCACCTCAGGCTGTGACATGCAAACAGCGAAGCAGATTAAGTTTTAGTGTTTGTTGTAGTTGTAGTCCATCAGGTAGTTCCCCCAATGTAGAACATAGTTGCGTTTGTGAGGGTTTTGCGAAGTACAGAATTTTGGGCAAAATATGCCCAAAGAGAAATACTAGGGGAGAATGTCATTTGAGTCTCAAATGGCTCCATGCTCCCTCTATAGTGTCCTAGAGAAGATTTGAAATTCGAGCTTCTAAAACAGCACACAACCCACACAGCCAGACTAGGTCACTTGTGCGCAAGCCTGCACAGTTCTTTAACGTGAACCGCAATTTCCCAACACATTTTGCAAGCTGTTTAGTGGTAAATTAGTCCTCTCTAATTCTTTTACCAAAATGGCGATTATCGCCTTTTACACATCACCATGGGGTTACCTGTCTATCATTGACAAAACCCGATTGCATCACCCTGTCGCTTGGGCCTAGTTTACAAATATTAGAGTTGGAGCTAAGCTCTGCTGGCTGGTAGATCTCCAGGACCAGGATTGAGCACCCCTGGCCTACATTATTAACAATGTCTTAGATTTAAGTGGGGAAATTATTCCTAATGACAGGCAGCTTATGAATGATCAGAAGCAACAAACCCCCCATGCTGTGATATCACACTCACAACTAACTCTGTTTGGCACAATACGTTTAGTGTTGAAGCCTTAAGCCAGCATCAGTGGTCTTCTTGGCCAAAGTAACAAGCCTCATTTTATAGAAAATAACTGCAGTTTAAATCACAGGAACAATATTGGTCAGAAAAATCAGTATTAGATCTTTTGCCCTAATCCTTCATCCTTGCAAGTCAGCCCAAAAAATGTGTTTGTATTTTGGAGCTGCTCCTCCTGCCTTGGCTACCATTAGCCTTTTTTAGAATTAAAAAAAAGACTAAAGATGTAAATTTCAGACTCCAGACATGCCTGTCTGATTGACTACATTTGTGATAAAGGACAAAATTGTGCAAGTTTGATTTTTCACTACACTGTTTCTTCAGACTGGTTCACTGTGAACCACATTGTTACAGTGCTGTGATCCAGGATACAATATGACAGTGCTGGCAGCAATGGGTGTGTATGCATATTTCACATTCATTTCAGCAGCTATCACTTTTCTCTTTCATACACCCCAAACTCTGCTCTCCAACAACATGTGACTCACACCTAGCTATGGATTATATTTGGGATATGTGCTAGTAGGGGAACTGGGTGTTGAAACTGAGCTTATGAGGCAAGACTTATCTGAAGACTTAAAAGCATGTAGTCTTGTCAAACTTACCAATGTGGGGCCAGTGTGACCGTAATTGGTGCATGTGCGTTTGTTTGTATGAATTGAAACAGGTTTTGGCTAATGATTCAAAATAAATCCATAACTAATCCTTTAGGGGTAGACCTTTTCTGTGAGCTGTATACTTGCTTAGACCTATAACATAATAAATGGGGTGTCATAATACGCATGTTTATCTTTTTTATTTATTTATTTATTTTACTTGGGGAATACTAGACAATACTCTCTGTGAATCAAATACAGCCAGTTTTAATGCTATAAAATGTTTGATGTATAATAATGGGAGTGATTTCTATAGTTCTATTTAACATGATAAAACATGGGGTGTCCATTGTATTCCTAACCACAAAAGTTAAAAACTCCACTGCAACTGAACATTATTGAAATTGACTGTGAAAAATAATTACAATCTCCTTAAATAGTTACCATAATCTGAAGTAATTGCAGTCAGGTGATTATACAGTAACTGTGACAGACCTAGGGGTGAGGTTTCTCAGTTGAGTACAATAATGTTGAGGATAGAGTGTAGATCAAACACTGACCGAGTGCTAACATTGCTTAACGTGAAGATCAAATACCCGTGCTAATACCTCAAATATGCTAAGTAATTTGTGAAGACATCACCTAAAGGTGTCAGTTACCAGAGCGAGGAGAAAACACAAAGCCGAAGTTAGCCAGCTTCTTATTTGAGTTTTCTGTTACACCTTAAATGAAGCAGCAGTTACATGTTACTGCTGCTCAATTTAAGGCAGAATGGAAAAATGTAATGAAAGGGTTGGTGTTGGCGAAAAGGAAGCCAGCTTCAGCCGTGTGGGGAGAAAAAAGGTCTCAGCACAGGACTGAAGTAGCCGCTAAGCACAGGTTCTGAACAGCTGGAACAAGTAACTCGTTCCTGTATCGTATCGTGATGCAAAAATGACTATACTTATTGTGCATCTTGTGTATCATTACACATCAAATAAAGCATGAGATCACAGTTTGGCAGCATAGTGGGAACTTGTAACACCACAACTATTGTGAAGAAATAAAAATTGGTGAAACTGCAGCTTGTTTGACTAAAATGCAGTAATGGAAATTACAATATTATGTGTTTTGAATGTTGCAGTATGTTATTGAATATCAGCCTTTGTCCACTTTTCCTGGTAATCAGTAATATTATATAACTGTAATTATTAGAATTAACTTTCACTGTTCACAGTAAAAAGTTATTCTTTTCCCCTTTCATTTAACTTGAATTCAAAATATATAACATATTTTGTAATAAATGCATGTTCTAAACATTAATCTGTTTTTGTTGTCAACTTTCTGTTTGCATTTTAATGACATACATGACCTAGTTACCCAGTTTCAGGTTAAAATATTGCATAATTTTTGAGGTGTTTCTTTCTCTTCGTCTCTCTCTCTGTGCAGAAATGCTGCAATTTGTGAGTAACCAGGCTGATTTTCCTGACCTGTTTGAGGATCAGGTTGGATCAGTGCCCCTGCAGGCTGGAGTGGGAGCTAACATTCGGTCTGCAGCTCAGTCGTCCGCTGCTGGGCTACAGAATAACCCGGTGACCCTAACACCCACCACCCCAGCACCTGCCCTGCCACTCACACCACCACACACACCTGTACAGACCGTCACAGCAAGTCAACAAACCCGTGCACCGCCACTGCTGCAGCCCAGACCACAGCCTCAGCAACACATACAGGTAAAGAAAAATAGGTACTGACACACATAAAGTCATACAGATACAACTACACTAACACACACATACATATAGTGAAAGTCTCGCCAGTTGCAGCATCTAAACATTAGAGCCCCATGCTTTAATAGTAGTGATTTTAAAACTGAAATTTACAGAAATGTAGATATGTAGGAGCAGTGTTGGAGCTAAACTTTGTAAGGTTTTAGAAAGCTGCTGTAATTTGTGTTGTCAATTTGCAGGTGGCTGCAGCCCCAATGCCTCTGCAGACGCAGACAGTGGCAGTTCAGTCTCAGAGTTTTCCTGTGCAGACGCTGGCTGTGCAGGCTCACACTCAGACACTTCCTGTGCAGACACAGGCACAGACGGTGATGATCGCTCCCACAGCACCGCAGTCACGATTCATACAAAACCCAGTCATCTGCCACCAGAACCCAAACACCAGCTTCCAGGGTGAGACAGTACAATGCACTGTTTGCTGTTTTGCACTGTTTTTTTTTTATTTATTGTTTTATGCATAACAGAGTAATATTCCATGTACTTTCCAGTGTGATAAACAGAGAATACAGTGTTATACAAAATATACAAATTTATATACCAAAGACCTCCTGACTGACTATCTCAGAATTGCTTAATACTTTCAAGAAATAACGTAAGTGTGCCTCATAGATAGTGTGCAAAACTTTAGGCCAAATCTTCATTTGTTTTTTGAGATGTAGAGACTTTTAAAAGTGGGCATGGCATGTGATTTGGAAAGGTGTGTAGACTTTGATCAACACTTTTTAATTACTGATGTCTGATACATCATGTTTTCAGATAATATTCTTTGGTTTAAGTTGCCTTTAACTATCAAAACAAGGAAACTGAGACACATATTTGCCATTTTATGGTTTGCCGAAAATCCAGAATAGTGCGTATTTTTTTTTGCATTGTACCTCACATCTTGTAACATTTGCATATTAATTGAATTATGTTTTTATAAGTATAATTATTTATAGATGTATTTTGTGTTAGCCCTTGGAATATACATTTGAAATTGAGACATGATGTGATTTCATTCATCTCATCAACCTTTATTACTATAAGGAGAACACGTAGTTGCCAAAAAGTGTGTTGTAATTTAATACCACCATTTGAAAGATTTGATTTGCTCAGTGTGGCAATGTTGGAGGCCTAAGTTGCTTCAAAGTACAAAAAATGTACAATGTAAAAAAAAATTCTTAGATGAAATTATGGAGATGTGGTCCAGTTATTGCGGCACAATATGTGTCTCAGTAATATTACGTTATTCATAATTTCTTTTTTTTTCTTTAGTCCTTCAACCACAGATGCAGAGCATTGTAACATCACCGCAGGTTCAGCCAATGACCATCCAGCACCAGCGTTTGTTAACTCCTCCTTGTCAGACAATTCAGACACTGTCCACAGCACCCACTGCTGTTCACACCATGTCACCGCAGGTGCAGCAGGTGCAACAAGTGCAGCAAGTGCCTGTGAGTAAGCATGATGTCAGAGCTTTATTATTATTATGAAGTTATTTCAGAATGTTATTATTATGTTATTTCAAAGTCAGAGCCTTATTATTATTGTTATTTCCCACAATACACATACAAACACAGTCTGACGTAATTACCCTTATGAAATCTATTCTTATTATTGGCATTTTCCTATACATTTTTTTCCATTACTTCATTATTTTAAATGCATTACATAATACATAATTAACTGCATAGTTATGTGATTAATTACATTTTTATGACATATATATATGTATATATATATATATATATATATATGTGTGTGTGTGTGTGTGTGTGTGTGTGTGTGTGTGTGTGTATATATATATATATATATATATATATCGACAACTTTGAGTTTGATCTTTTCTGTTTGTTTTGCCAACAAAAAGGACAAATGAACAAATAAAGAGTATTTTCTTTCTGCAAAACAAGACTATTCAGAATAACTTTTAATCAAATTTTAATTAGTAGAAAATATCTCTTTCTCTACTGGATTGAAAGTTTAGAATCCACACTTTTTGCAGAATTTCTTCACCTGTTTCTGGTCAGAAATAATTAATATAAAGTTGCCACTCTTTGCCAGCGACACACACACTCAACAATACATTTTCCAGAAATAATTCTTGGCGTGATGCCATAGAAGAACCTCTTTTGGAACCCTGAAGAAAACTTTCAGTGGATGGTTCTTTAGAGAACCATATATGTAAAGAAGATGTGTGGATGTGAAGAACCTCTTGAAAATTCAGAGAATCTTCACATAATGTAAATATTCTTGGAAGAGCCCCTAAATTGGAACCTTTTTACATTATGTGAAGGTTCTTTAAAGGAGCAGTATGTAAGATCATGCAACCTGTCAAATTCATACTCCACATCTTCAGAAAGTTGTGGTGTCCACCCTTATTGTAAGAAATGCACAGTCTCTTCTCCCTCTTCATTATTGCCCCAAACTTCAGCACCAAACTTCATCTTTTTATTCCCCAAGAGCTGTCTCTAGTGGTGAAGAGCAATGCCAATGTTAACTCTTGTTTAGCCTCTATTAATGTCACTTTTTTCTTTGCTGCTGAATGTGGTTTATTTCTGGGAGCAGATAGTGGTGTTGATAGTGGTCACTTGCCAAGAGCTTCAGCCATTGCTGTGTTTACTGTCCCATTCATTGGCTACCTGTCCTTAAATGGCCTAACCTTATTTTAACCCAAAACCTAATTCTAACTCCAACCCCGGTCCTAAATCAAACACCTACCTTTCTGTAGATAATCAACTGTGGTCTTTCTAAATAAAGTGAGACCAAAGATTCTTCACATTCACACATTTCTTTTTCAGACGTGGTTCTTTAGGGAATTAAAAGTGGTTCTTCTATGGCGTCACTCAAGGAACGCTTTGTGTTTTTTGTCTGCATCTTCTAAGATTAACCCAGTGTTCTGTTATGTTAAGTTGTGAACTTTGTTCTTTAAATTAGCTGACAAGACATTAATTCCATTGTTCAGAATAAGACATCCTTATTACCGTTTACTGTGTTTGTTATTTACATCTTTTCTAATGGTACATAGCATTTTCACAAATAAAATCACACTTCTTACCAAAATAAATGGTTTTAAACAATGTGCCCAGGTGCCTAAGACCTTTGCACTGTATTTCAGTGTCTCTCACCTGATACCAAATCTAAACTGTAAACATGTTTAAATGTGTTTGTGTGTATTTCTCTCTGTGTGTGTGTGTGTGTGTGTGTGTGAGATAGGTGTTGGTGCATCAGCCGCAGATTCTAAAGACAGATTCATTGGTTTTGACCACATTAAAGCCTGATGGAACCCAGGTTCTCTCCACCATGCAGAATCCAACTGGAATCACCACACTCACCACACCACTGCAGACTGCACTGCAGGTTCCTGTACGTACACACACTCACACAGATACTGTGTTTCTTCTAGAGCTCTGCTACCTGACTCAAGCCTGAAAAGGTCTGAAAAAATATTATGTTTTGGGTTGAGTTTGGGTTGATTTTACAGCAACAGGCTCCTGACAGGCTCAAGCTTGTTTTCTATTGATTAATAATAGTTTAAGTTGTAGATTTTATTTTTTCACAATGAAGGAATATGCCTATATAAATTTAGCACACTCTCATACATTCTATTCTCTCTCTCTCTCTCTCTCTCTCTCTCTCTCTCTCTCTCTCTCTCTCTCTCTCTCTCTCTCTCTCTCTCCGTGATGGGTTGATGGAAAGGTCATGGTGGATGTTTCCCCTGGCATATTGTTTAGTTAAAATGTGTTCTGTTAGTGTATTACAAATGTGTAACATACCCATTTATTCCGTAATGACCATTTCTCTCAATCATCTCAAGCATTTAAAACAAACCACTGTAGAACTGTATCCGTGATGATACATTTCTTGTTGAGGGGAGTTTGAGTCGGGTTGGGCTTTCAAATTGAACAGTACTGGTCAGGTCAAGTCTCAAAATCAAGAGTACTGGTCAGATTCAGGCTTCAGTTTCATGCCCATGCAGACCTCTAGTTTTTTTTTTTGTTTGGTTTTTTTGTTTTTACTTACTTGGCCACACCTCAACTCTTCTCAACTCTCCTCAACTCAAAAGGCTACTTTTGGGAATAATATGAAGTTATGATTTTAACAAAGCATTTAAACTGTCCATGTAACTTTTTATATGAATATACATATTTTTAATTATAAACTAGGGCATATACGTACAGGTAAATGCACACATGCCAACCTACATGCATAAATAGTATTATTTTTCACTAGAAATACACTCCAACCATGTTTGTTTCACTTGAGTATTATTAGGGAATGAATAGCCATACATTAGGATTTGATTACATTTAATCACAAGAGTATTGTTGAGGTCAGGTACTGATGTTGGATGATTAGTTCTGGATCAGAAACACAACTACATCTCATCCTAAAAGTACTGGAGTGATAGAGCTCCATCCAGAAAACACAGTTTTCCAAGCATTACTCCACAGCCCAATACTTGGGGGGCTTTATACCTCACTGGCTGATGCTTAGCATTGGGTTGGGTATGGTGACCTTAGGCTCATGTGCAGCTACTCCACAGCATCCCAACTAACTGGCAATGAATTCACTAATCTTTTTTTTTCTCTCTCTTTCTCTCTTTCTCTCTCTCCATCACTCTCTTTCTTTCTTTCTTTCTTTCTCTCCCTCTCTCGCTCTCTCTCACTCTCAGACACTGGTGGGCAGTAACATTCTGACCACTGTTCCAGTTGTCATGGGCGGTGGCGACAAGTTGCCAATCAAACAACTCCAGTCAGGCCCCACCCACAGCGGGGGCATAACCAGAACTGTAGTGGAGCAAAGCACAGCTGTTACCACGGCAACAGGTGGAGTGGTGAAGGAGGGCGAAAGGAGGACAACCCACAATATCATTGAGAAGAGATACCGCTCATCCATAAACGACAAAATCCTTGAGCTCCGAGACCTCGTCATGGGCAGCGATGCCAAGGTATGGGCTCTAGATGCATGCTGGGAAGTGGAGTTTTAAAAACTAGTGGGCATTGTTAGCATGCATTTATTTGCATTATGCTTACATTAGCACTTACAGATGATGCAGAGGGAGTGAGATCAGCTTTAGCTATTAGAGTGCAGCTGAAGTGATATGAGGTAGCCATTAGGTAGCATTATGTAAAGAGAAAAGCCTTTACAAGAGTTTGAGCAAGAACATTATAAGCAGTCTCAGACAGATTTATAAAGGTAATTCAAAAGTTAAGGGGTTTTTGTATAAAAAAGCAATACTGTCAACAAAGACAACAGTGAATTAAAGGAAAATTAACTGAACTGTGTTGAATTGTATGTGTGACAGATGCATAAGTCAGGTGTGCTGCGGAAGGCGATAGACTACATTAAGTACCTGCAGCAAGTGAACCACAAGCTGAGGCAGGAGAACCTGGCACTAAAGATGGCCAGCCAAAAACACAGTGAGTAGAGTACAACGCACATACCTATAAGTAACAGTGATATGTCTCATGTTACGTACAGTACCGTACAAAAGTCTTAGGCAATGCATTGTTTAAAACCATTTATTTTGGCAACAGATTTTTTTTTTGGTAAAAAAAAAACAATATATATGGTTAGAATAAATACAAATAAACAAATACAGAAAAGGTTTTTTTTATGTAGTTGATATCTTGTAAGCTACATTGAAGAACAAAGTTTGGCTCCAGATTTCTCCTGGATACCTGCAGTCCCTGCCTAGATTTGTTAAATTCCATCAACAGCACACTTGATTTAACTTAGTGAAGCATTGATTAACAGAACAATTGTTGGATGATAACTACAGTTAATTCTACACTTCCTTGAGGAGAGGCTTGGAAAGAGTTCAGAGAACACATTGACATTTGTAAAACTTTTCTCTCTCTCTCTCTCTCTCTCTCTTTCTCTCTCTATCTCTCCATCTCTCCATCTCTCTGTAGAAGTGATATGTGTGGCAGATGATGTGGAGATGAAGCCAGATGTGTGTGTGATGACTCCACCCCCTTCGGACTCTGGCTCCAGTTCTCCACCTCAGTCCTCTCCGTTTTGTCTGGACTCAGAGCCAGGCAGTCCACTGCTAGAACATGAGCAGGTACACTCATACATACCACCACTAGTACCCATCAGTTTGTTTCTGTACTACAATAACAGTAGTGCAGACCCGTCAAACAGTAGTACAATGAAAACAATAGTACTTCTTTAGGCTAATGTAGCTAAAAAAATGATTTAAATTTCTACTACTTATTTATACAACACTAAAAATTTCAAAATTTAATTTAAACATTAAAACATAACTGAAAATGTTCTAACTCAGCTAATGAGTTAGCTTATGTTGCTTGGTAGCTACTAAGTGCTGGATGTGAGACTGAAGAAATAAACGTTGCGAAAGGACATCTGTCTCAGTTCAGTGTGCAGTTAGCACAGAGCGGCAGTTACTCATTTTCTGATCTCAGATATCGGACACGATTTATTCGTGCAGTATTTTCTGATGACAGTAAATGATTTCGATCATGTGTACAACTGATATCTTGCACATCAAATGTATTTTTTAAATTGCGAATGCAGCAACATCATTTTTCCTGCCGCTTTTTCACGGATGGTGTAAGCATCTCCATAGGCAGCTCAAATAGTGCTCAGACTCCGAAATATCCGAAAGCTCTTGTAGAGTTCCAGCTCCTGAATGAGGTGGCGAAACTCTCAGTGCTCCTTTTACTTTTCCTGAATGGAATGTCAAATGACTTGTCATTTGTTTTTTTCGATGTGTGATAAGGCCTGGTACTCACTGCTGTATCTTCCAAAGTTTCAGTTTATAGGATGGTTTTAGGATGGTTTCTTTCTGAGTTATACATTTCTCAGTAAGACATTTCACTTCTTTTGGCCTTATAATTAAGACTAATTTACTGCCACCGCCATTTTAACTGCAGGTTGATCTGAGAGAAAGTAGCCCTTAGAGATGTAGGTGATTGACTGAGGGGAATGTCAATCATTATTTTGCAGTCAACTGATTTAGTAAGGGAAGTTAACAGATCTCCAAAGGCAGGGGTGCCCAATCCTGGTCCTGGAGATTAGGATTGATCCTGAATGAAATATTCAGTATATCCGAAATAAGAAGTGTAACCCCCCACCCCACCCACGCAGGTGAAGAGTGAGCCAGCTTCCCCCTCCTCCTCTGTTGGTGTGATGGACCGCTCCAGAGTGCTGCTCTGCGCTTTGACCTTCCTGTGTCTGTCCCTGAACCCTCTACCCTCCCTTCTGGGCTCTGATGATAACAGTGCCCCTTCATGGCCTGGAGGAGAAGGACATGGACCCTCTAGATCACTCGTCTGGCTGCCTGCACAGACACAGAGCTTCGGTGAGTTTCTCACACACTGCATACACACAGAGTAACTCAGTGTGCATGTACATACTCCATGTACACACTTCCATACAGCCAGTGGAACTGGAAGGGGTTAGCTTAAAAGTCAGTCACCTTTCAAAATGTTGTTGTGTGTGGGAGTATTGCTGTTTCCAGATGCAAATGTATTAATGTACATTAATTTAAGTCCAAGTGGTTCCCAAACTGTGATAAATGACATTGGGTACCTAAAAAATTCTGTTGTTTGATGTGTACACTTAAATCTTTTCCATTCTATCAGCGGGCCACATAATTACACAAATACTTCTCTGATATAGACAACACAAACAACTCTGCACTCCACTCCCCAACTCCTAGACAAGATATTCTCACTGAAAGTACTATGAGTCGATCTTTAAATGCTGAGTTTAATCTGTAGAGCTGTTAAAAATAAATGTCTGGTGTTACTGTGCTGAACTGTATCTGTGGTTAGTCCACATTTAATTGTTCACTGTTCTTTTTACAGCCACACACATGCATAATGTGCCCTCATATAGACCACTGTTGTAAATAACATTATTTATTCAGTATATCTGGCATAAAGTGTTATGAACATGTTTGAAGGGGAGCTGATATTATAAGACTAAATGTCTAAGATATGCATAATGGCAGTATGTGCATATGTATATATAAGGAGTTAGAGGGGGTACGGTTAATGTTAGAAGGGGCACAGGACTGTAAAATTGGGAACCACTGATTTATACAAAAAAGCCTTATGCTGAGATCAGACTACACAAATTCAGCCTGATTTTGACATGATTTTGTTGCAGCCGACACATTTTCAGCATGGGCCCAAATATGAGCATTGGGAATGATGAACCAGTCTTGTAGTCTGACATAATTGAAGAAAAGCGATGTGGAGTCTGGGACACCCCACGACACCCTAATGTAAAGTCTAGCATGTCCTGGCATTATTAATCGAAAAACCAACATTGAACTCAATAATTAAACTGCTACTAGGTACAATCTTGCTTAGACACGAGTTAAGTTTCTTTGACCTTAAACTAGAAACAGATGCCTTCTTCATGTGTGCTTTGTTTAGCAGGCTGCAGGGGCACTCGCATTCATATGGATAGTCTTATGTAAAGCTGCATTTTGTAAGTATGGAACTTTGGGCAATTGTCATTCTCTCCGGTGGAAATATGTTACTGCATGAAACGTGTAGAACAACATTTTGTAATGGGGGGTGTGGTTGTACTTTGGCTATGGGTGATGCCACAGAGGATGACTGAATTTGCCTTTCCGATGTGTCCATATTCAGTGATATCTAACTTTTAGCACTCTGAGCAGCACCTGTACCAATGTTGCTCAGGTAACCCCTGTCAAGTGAGACCTTCTTTTTGAGTCTGTGTGTGTGATAAAGACATCTGATGTGGTCTGAAAAACTCCTGCCAAATCCAAGCCGACAGCTCTGACTCACAGGAATGCAAGAACACCATATTTTAGCAGATTTTTTTTCTCTTGTCTCAGTAATTCCTTTGATTTTACTGAATAACTCTTACACAGTGCAGCTTTAATTATAATTATGCGATTTATGATAATTATACAGGAATATGCAAAAATTTGAGCACCCCGGTCACATTACATGTTTTATTGCTTTTCTAAGTGGGAATAAGTTAACACAACGTTTCTGAAAATTTTAGTTTCTGTTCATTTGCAAAATTTAAAAAGATCAAACACAAAATATACAATGTGCTGTAAATGCAACAGTAATTATGCATTACAATGTGCAGATGCATGTTATCTGTTCAGGATGTGTACTTAATTCCATGTAGAAACCCAGTAAAACATGTCACTTGACCAGGGCGCCAAAAGTTTTGTCTGATAACCTCTCTCTCTTTCTCTCTGTGTCTCTGCAGCAGCGTGGCTGTGGTGTGTGTTGCCGTGGGTGACGGTGTGGGTGTTGTCTGGTGTTGGAGTGGTATGGGGGTGCGTGAGGATTTTGTATTTGTGGGAGCCAGTAACACCCCTGCACTCTCCAACATCAGTGCTGTTCTGGAGACACCGCAAACAGGCCGACCTACAGCTCTTTAGGGTACACACACACACGCACACACACGCAGCACAAACCAAAGAGTAATTTATGCATCTAGCTTCAGAACTAACAGCTTATGAAAGTGCATCTTTGTCCTTAGCAAAGGCAATTTAAGGCAATAAATTAACACCACGCCCACTTTTTAAAACCAATATAATAGTAATAATAATAATAATAATAATTTCATTTATAGAGCACTTTTCATACCAACAGCAGCTCAAAATGCTTTTCAGACAAGTGATAAAGTTTAAATTTAAAAGAAGAAACTGAGAATTAATTTAAAAATCTTATAAAACAATAATGTTTCCTAAAAGTGTGCACCAAGTTTGACTGTATAATAAAAGGTGGAATTGAGTTCCACAGCTTAGAAGCATAACAACCAAAAGAGGCCTCTCCACGTTTTCTGTATTTTGAGGAAGGTATATGCAGAAGGCCAGTATCTGCATCTAAGATTATATTGAAACATAAAAGGTAAGCAGTAGTGGTGTAATGGACTGTAGTTGATCCATGATCAATACAGAATCCCCCCCTCTTTTTTTTGTTATATGTTGTTGCACCCAGAGTAAACAGGTGCTCGGTCATTTGGAACCTTAAAAGCTGTAGCAGAACTTTAAAATCTATCCTTAAAGATACAGGTAGCCAGTGCAGTTCTTTCAAAACTGGAGTGATACAACCTCTCTTTTTTTGTTTATGTTAGGATCCGTGCTGCTGCATTTTGTACAACCTGTAGGGGATGTATTGTTTTCTTCGGAAGCCCAGTAAAACGAATTAGTATTTCAGTTTTTTGTGTAGTTTTAGAAAAAAAACTTTGTGACATCCACTGAGAAATATATTTCACACACACCTGCTAAGCCTGTCAATGGAGTCCTGATTATCAGAAGGAATGAAAATGTATAGTTGTGTGTCATAACTACAGCATAGCTATGAAAATTGCTATTATGTTTCCTAATGACATCACCTAGAGGGAACATGTACAAAGTGAAAAGCAAGGGTCCTTAAACTGAACCTTGTGGGACTCCACAAGAAATGATCATTTTTGTTTGATGAATGATTTCCCAGTGAAACCAAGAACTGTATTCTTTAAATATGATTTTAATCCAATCTAAAACTATGCCTGAGAGGCCTATCCAGTATTCAAGGCGGTGGATTAGAATCTTGTGAGCAGTGGTATCAAAAGCTGCACTAAGATTCAGTAAGACTATAATAGAAGGATTTGGACATCACCCTTTAGCCTGAGATCATTGCAACCATGAACCAAATGTTGTCTCAGTACTGTGGTTATAACGAAAATCTGATTGAAAGTTCTCATATAACTTGTTTGATATTAGATTAAATTTTTTTAAATTATTTTTTCTAAGACTTTAAAAAGGAACTTTTGAAATTGGTCTAAAAATTATTTGGTATGAAAGGATCCACAAAAAATAGAAACTAGGGTCCCATTTCAATGCTCTTTTTAACATGCCTTTGCCAACTTCAGCTCACCACTCAGATGTGTGTCTCACCTCTCTCATCTTACACACTTGCAGCAGAAGGGAGGGGACAACCGAAACATGCTTGGACTAATCGATGAGCCATGAAAGCTTTGTAATGCCAAAGTTTTTTTGACAAGTTTTAACATACATAACATTTGTGAATAATTGCTTTGTCTGGCTGTAAACTTGATGTTGGTGTGGTGCCTTTCTTTTTGTTGTTGTTAGCCATTTTTAGCCTTTACCAAGTAAGCAGAGTAGAATGTATGGTTTTGAATTATTAAGCATTTTAAAGTAGTTCACTCCTACTGCTTAGAAATAGCTTTGTCTGGCATTACTTTTGGGTTTGGAACGGGAAATGTGGTAGGTCGCAATGATTTTTGGACAAGTTCTACTGCTGATGTTTACACTTGTGTGTAGCATGAGATTTGGCACATTGTGGGGCACAATGACATTTCCTGAAACTTTGAAGGAAATCTGAGACGGTTACTAGAGATGCCTCTCTCTCCCTCTCTCCCTCTCTCCCTCTCTCCCTCTCTCTCTCTCCCTCTCTCCCTCTCTCCCTCTCTCCCTCTCTCCCTCTCTTTCTCTCCCTCTCTCCCTCTCTCCCTCTCTCCCTCTCTCAGGGTGATTACGGCGCTGCAGTGGTCAGTTTAGAGACATGTCTTTCTGTTTTATCTCGGGCTCTACCCTCTTCCAACTTGGACCTCGCCTGCTCTCTCTCCTGGAATCTGATTCGCTACTGCTTGCACAGACCCGCCCCCTTTGGCTGGCTGGTGCGTCTCGTTGGTGGAAAACATGAGGGAGAGGAGTCTCAGACCAGCTCTAGAGATGCAGCTCTAGTCTACCATCGACTTGGCCAACTGCAGCTTACAGGTGTGTGTGTGTGTGTCTTTTTTGTTTGTATTTGGACCATTCTACAGAATTAGTTCAAATTGCAGTCCCACAGTTACAGACTGTAAATATTTATAAGGATTCTTTTTGATCTATTAAACCCAAAGCAGTAATGAGCTAATTACATACATATTTGTGTTTTGAACTCTGATTTTTCACCAGTACGACAGAAAGATCCATCTATGATTCCTCAAATGTGCATTATTGAAATTGCAAAAATGTTCGATTTTGATACTAGGGCGATAATTCTGTGGATTAAAAAAATTTTATGTGTATAGGTAAAATGTTGGAGCGCAGTGCACTGTGGGGTGTCTGTGTATGTCTGAATGCTGTTAATCTGAGTGAAAGTGCACAGGGAAAGATGAACCCTACTGAGCATGCTCAGATTTACATCTCTGCTGCCATTGCACTTCGTACTGCACTGGGAAACCACCTCACATATCTACCTGTAAGTATGCATATGTGATTATGCACACACACTACATTAATACCACTTTTATTGTACTAAGCAGAGAAACACAGCTGTGCTACTTAAATATGCTTTGTGCAGCAGACAGATGTGCAGACAAACTCTTACTACTTTTTTTCCTTTGTACTAGATTAATTACTGATTTGTGGCTAAATCAAAAATAACATTGTACTACAACCAAACTTTTACTGGGCTGCCCCATTATGTGCTTTTTATTTGAGGATGATTAAGCCTGAACTCGCCGAATGTCCAGTACATTGATTAATATAAATATGTTTTTCAGATTTTCCAGATGTTTTTGCTGTAAATTGGCCTACATTTCAAAGTAGTTTTCATGTATGTCTGCACAAAACATTTTGGAAAGCCACTTTGAATAAAGTTTTAAAATATACTGTGTGCCTCTACATTTTGCTTTGTACTATGGATGCTACCAGGTAGCTCTAAGAGTGTGACAGTTGTATTCTTGTTTTGCTGATAATGTAATCTCTTATAATAAACACATGCAGCAAATATTCTCATTTTTTATGCTTTCTTTTCACTCTCTCTCAGGGTTATCTGTTGAGTTGTGCGGAGAGTTTAATTGGTCATTCAGACTCTAAGCCCCTCCCAGACAGCCTACGTTGGCTCTTCACTCCTTTAGGCAGGCAGTTTTTCCTGAGCTGTGATTGGTCTGTGAAGCCAGAGAGCAGTGGAGGGGTTTACACTTCTGAGAGAGAACAGGGTAAGAACAGAGAACCACATTATATACACACACAAAAAATATAGATGGACCTAAAATAAGCAATATAATACTAGGGAAAAAAATAAATTAATAAAAAAGTAAATTATAATTTTAGGAAGGTTATAATCCTGTTTTAGTTTAATATTAAATAAACGCACATTAAGATACCTAATAGATTAAACTGATAGTTCTGGTCCTAAAATCTGATTGGCTGAGCTGCGTTAGAACAATATACACACACGTATGACTGCCTCACAACAACTGAACTCTTTATTACTGCACCACGTCATAAAAAACCCTTTTGCTGTTAATGGAATAATCTTTGACTGTAATGCTGCTTGCATGGACCACCAAGTGATAAAGTAAGAACTCGTTTTTTGTTTAAACTGAGGAACTGGAAGCTTATTTTCTTAACTAGAACTAGGCTGGTCAGCTAGTTAATAGGCTGAAAGATAGCTAACAGTAGGGGTGGGAATCTCTAGGCCCCTCACAATTCGATTCGATTACGATTCAGAGGGCTGCGACGCGATTATAAAACGATTATCGATGCATCTCGATGCATCTTTTTTTTCTATATAGCATTTATATTTTCTCACTTTGTGAGCTCAAGTTTCGAGTTCAAGTTTCAAGTTTATTTGTCATTTGCACAACATGTCAGGACATTTATGCATTGAAATGCTTGTGGTGAGGCTCAGGTAATCACTCTACAGAAAGTAAATAAGTAAAAATAAAAATACAAGAAAAACCAACTGAAATATATTAAATATACACAAAATATACACAAAATATACACAGAATATACACAGAATATAGAGACAATATACATTTTAAAGTGACTAAGTGACTCGGTGTTATTGTTATTTAAAGTGACTTGGTACTTTTAAAGCGAAGTATTTGTAATGATCCATAATGAATTTACTTCCAATATCTTTTTTTAATAAAACAAATGGAAGTGATGTGGCAAGTGAACTAGAAGGCTCTCATTCACTGCTCTTGTTTGGAGCACGAGAAGCTGCTCATCTGCAATAAAATGCGCAGTTACGGTGAAATAAGATCCAGTGGCAGCACGTTACAGCCGTCCTACCCGTTTTCTTTAGTGATTTTTTTTTTGAGGGAGCCGGTCGGATTTCTCGCTCATCCAGTTGTGTTTTTGTTATGTGCCGCCGCAGACTGTCCAGGCGCTGCGCTTACCCACTTCCGCCTTTTGCGTTCCGTCAACATTACGTTATAAATTAAATATTTAGAAAATCGACTTTTGACATTTGTGAATCGATTCAGAATCGATTTTTTCCCACACCCCTAGCTAACAGTCTAAGCAACTCCATCATTAATATCACAGGGTTGTAATAAAATACTTACAATATCATTAACTGTAAAACTGCAATATTAAAATCTAAAGAATGTCACTTGAATGGCATACACGCTTTAAATGTTTGTTTCAGTCAAATGTCACGTCAACCCCAGGCAGAATCCCAGATGCCTTACATACTCCTTAAGTAGTGTGCTAGCTTCTACAGCCAAATAGTGCACTGTTTGTCGAGCATGGATATAGCTGAATCCCAAATGAGTTTGCACTGTTGGGGTGCAGGAGCTAGTATTTAAACTCCTACGTAGCGCACTATGTAGGGAGAAGGGCGCCGTTTGAGATTGAGCCCCAGCACGAGATGGGGGGTGTGGTTGGACTGGTGTTATATAAGACTCGCGGTGGTAATTTGGTGACCAAAAAGTGCTTACAAAGTGAAGGTTTTGGCATCAAACAGTGCTGTGTTATGAAATGTTCATTGTTAAAGGACAAAAACTTCATGAAAGTTCCAAAGTTCATGAAATTACCGCAATATACAGTGATGGGCAAGATCATTAAAGATTAGTGGAGTTAGAAAGTCTACAGTGTGTATCAGACAACATGAAACATACAGCTCTGTAATGCTGAAAACACAACACAAAACTTCAGCCAATTGAACTACTAATTGAGTTTTTTCCTACTTTTTGTGTTTGTATGTAGCGGATCCTATCGCACAGCTGCATCGCTGTTTCTGTGAAAAGCTTTTGGAAAGAGCTGTCCACACACTCATCCAACCACACACTGACACAGAGACAAGCAAACACAGGGAAGAGAGCGGGTACGTACACACACAGACAAACACATGTAGAAATGTAATGTGTGGATTGCTACATTTTCATCCAGGCCTGCTTCTTTCCTCATGCTCTGCATGTTTTAGAGGATTTGAGTATTTTCTTACTCCCCATTTTACCCTTATGAAGGGCTTTAATAAGTTGCTTGATTGGAGCACATATGTTAGCAAAGTGTTTCCATGACTGGGATTAATAAATATTGAAGTAATGAATATTTACGCTACTGTTCAGTTTCAGGTTACTTACAGAATAATTTTAATTGAATAATGCCCTACAGAGTGCAGATTGAAAATTTATAAACTAGACACCAAAATGTAAACTGATGATATATTCACAATTTTAAGTATTTTAGAAAAAACAAGTGACATGACATGGCAAAAAATAGTAAATGGTATTAATTTTTAAACTGTAATTGTATGTTTATAGTATTTTCTTGACATGAATAGTTATTTAGTCACCAAGATTTGGTCACTGCTTTTGAGGCTTTCTGGATATTAGTTTCATTCTAAGTTAGTTCTCTAAGCTATACATCTTACATACAGTTATTATAAAATCATCTACGGCCATGTTCAACTTTAAAATCTTTGTTCTTACAGCTTCCTACGAATTGTTTGAAACCGATAGAATATTAGCATCATATTTGAATCATTTTATACATGCATGCTGGATTTTGAGGAACTGTATTATTATTTAACCACTGTGAAGACCTGGAGCACCCAAACGTCTGCATACAAATGTCTGATACTCCCTTCCTCTCTCTCCCTCTCTCTCCCATTCCCTCTCTCTGTGTGTAGAGAGTTCAGTGGTGTGTTGGAGTTTCTGCAGTTGTTGAACAGCTGCACTGAAGACTCTGCCTCCCCCGCTCCACCCTTCCCTGCTCTAGCCAATCACAATATGGCACCAGGTACATGGCTTTTGCCTTGCATATGTGTATGTCCTTATACCACAGCATGAGGACAGACAAATCCCAACTAACATAATTCTTGCAACAACACTAGGATATGCAATGATTTAATTGAGCAATGCAGTGTTTGTCAAAGAATAGGTCTATAAATCCTGCCTTTCACATTTCATTGGCTGGAAAAATATTGGCTAATCTATATATTTATTTTGCTCATGCTTCCTGTGTGTGTCCTGTCTGCTGTGGTCTTGCTGTGGTCAGTGGGAGACCCTGTGTGCCGCTGGTGGGCATCCATCCTGAAGGCATCTGTTCACTGGCTGCAAGGTGATGATGTGTCTGTGAGGTTAATGCTCGCAGAGGTGGAACGAATGCCCAGGGCTCTGCACTCAATAGAGTGAGTTTTTAACAAGTGTATGTGTGAAAGTGAGTGAGTGCACAAGAATATAAATAATTTACTTGTGTAAAGTAAGGTTTTATGATGAGTCTAAATTTGTAATTGGCATACTTGGTCCCTGAGAGGCAGAAAATGCAACTGAATCTGAACTTTGGAAAAATGTTTCTTAGAAAAACTGAAAGCTGATCTAGTGTAACGTAATGCAATGTAATGTAAGCTGCAATAAGGGGAAATGGTGGACACTCTAAATACTGAAAAATGTGATAATATATTTAGTTGTTAATTCTTCTGTGTAATGTTCTGTTAAATATGTTTTTCCTAACTCTAAAAAATTTGTACTTAATGGTCGTTTTGACAGAAAATTAAGTAAATGAAAGGTGGTATCTTTTGCACAGCATTGTATTTGATGCAGTGGTCAGTTACGGTGTCCATTTTTTCCTCTTTCCATGTGTGTGCTTGTGTGCGTTTGCGTGTGTGTTCTAGCCACCCATTGTCTAAGGCTGCGCTGGCGCTGTGTAAGGCAGTGCAGATGAGTGTGTGTCCACAGAAGGGAGAGGGAACGTTGAGCTGCATCACACACTGTGATCGGGCCAGTGCTTACCTGCATTCCAGCATCTCACACACACACACCTACACTTGGTTGCACAAGGTACACACATGCATGAACTTAATGCAGCAAAAGTGACATACTGACTCATATTGAGTGTAAAATTGGGTAGATGTGTATGTACAATATTTAACCTGTGAATGTATGTTTGTAGAATGTGTGTGTGTGTGTGTGTGTGTGTGTGTGTGTGTGTGTGCAGTAATTAACGGAGGTGGCTGTGGTGCATTGTAGTTGCATTGCATGATGCTGCAGCCTAGTGCAATGTGTCTGCAGTGCAATACAGAGGCCTACCATTTCCCCCCTTACACACACACTCACACGCACACACACACCATATCTCTCTATAAACACACACATTCACCATGCACTCATGCATACATACCTGCTTTGTGTTTCTCCTGCAGGGAATGGAGCTGCTGATGTGTGACCTTCTGCTCACTCTGAGGACCAGCCTATGGCAACGAGGAGGCGGAGCCAATGGAGAGCCAGGCCCTGCCCCCAGTTCACAGTTGGCTGGATTCCAGAGGGACCTGAGCTCTCTTCGTAAACTAGCTCAGGGTTTCCCCCAGGCTCAGCACAAGGTAATATTAAGACCTCACTGTTGGTCATTGATACAAAACCTATAACCCCTAATAATACAATACTGATTTTTAATACAAAACTTAGAAACTCTCAGGCCTCATTATTGGTCTGTAATATAAAACATATTAGTCCTGTTTGTCTAATTAGCCTAATTTGTGCTGTTAAATGGCACAGCATGCAGTAGGCTAACAGTAGGCCCACACTAACCACAGTTAAACTAAGTAATTCTGATGCAAACATATAGGTCTACTTTGTGTGTGTGTGTGTGTGTGTGTGTGTGCACTACGCCTGTTTAACATTAATAACACTTCTTTGTTTTGATTTTATGTTTCTATTCTACTTTATGTAATTGTTTTGTTAAAGATTTTTATTTTATTGTTTTTTCACTCCTAAGAATTTTGTCTTTATAATTTCATTTTGATGTTCCTTTTGCTTTATTTATGTAAACCGCACTGAATTGCCTTTGTGTATGAAATGTGCTGCATAAATACACTTACCCTGCCTTGTCTATTTATGTGTAATACTGAAGCATTCAGTAAATAAATAAAGTTTTGCCACTATGGCACCATAACAACTTCTGGCAGTAATATCTTATCACAGTGGTAAGTGGAACACTATGGTATTGAAAGTTTGCCATTATTATTTGATTATTTTTCTCTTTATTGTTTCAGTTGTCTTACTTTACATGTAGGGTTATGTTTAGGTTTTCATAGCAGTATTCTATTGTGCTTGTTTTGGTCATATAAAAAGCAGTAATATTGAGTAAAAGTGGACTTGTTGTCACTTGTTGTAAAAGTGGAATTGATGTCATATTTCCCAAAATATGTCTATATGTAGGTCCCAACATGAAAATATTTGGGAGCCCCTCCTATAGAGCTTGTATCGTATATAACTTAGGGAGTTCTACCTTTGTGTATCTAAAATCTCTCTCTCTCTCTCTCTCTCTCTCTCTCTCTCTCTCTCTCTCTCTCTCTCAGGTGTTTTTGCATGAGACTACAGTTAGGTTAATGGCAGGAGCAAGTCCAACTCGCACACACCAGCTACTGGAGCACAGCCTGCGTCGAAGAACACACACTTATACAGGTATATGTATTTTCTTTTATGTGTGTGTGTGTATGATGTTGTATAAACAATTTTTTTGTTTTGATTTATACCAAGCCATAAAATGGCAAACATGTATCTTTGTATCTTTTGATTTTAGTAGTTAAACACACCTTGACCCAATAAATTTCATGCACCAAATATCAATAATTTAAAAATAGCAACTTGAAGTTTGCAGTTTTAATTACAGTCATCACCAACTATAATGCTGTCAAACGCTTGTGGACACTTGGCTTGTCAAATTTTATTTTTGTATGTATTTATTACTAATAGTATCACATATTACAAACCGTATCACACATTTCCCTGTGCTGCTGTTTCCTTTCATGCCTGTAGAAGGCGTATGTGTTGCGGGTGAGCGTGAGAGAGCACATGCCATCCTGCTGGCCTTCAGCCATCTGCCTGTACCCCTGCTGACCCCTCCTGGACACCGTGCCCGTATGCTTGCAGAGGCCAAACGCACACTGGAGAGAGCAGGGGACCGCCGTACACTCACAGACTGCCAGCATATACTGCTGAGAGGGACCACCATCACCTCATAAACACATACACATACTGCACATAGTGGGATCAATCCATGTAAAAGTCACTGAGAACCTCTCAACTGACCCTCTCTGATTTGCTTTTGATGCTAGATGCCTGGAATTTTAAGAGATTGTTTAGTTGAAGGTGCATTTAAAATTATTTTATGGTAGACTTTGGACTTTGGCAATTATTCCTTCTATGATTTTAATTTTTAATAGCTCATCAGTCAGAAACCTGTATTACATTACAAGGCTAAAACCATTTTTTAAAAGAGTGTTGAGATATTAAAGGGGTAATAAATACCAGTTATAGAAAGATGTTTTGTTCAAAAGCACACAAAAATAATACTGCATTTCTCTATCTTCGCCTTAAAACAAGGAATAATCTCTCAAATTTCTGACCTTTTTCTGGACCACTTAGATACAAGCATCGCTTTAAAAAGCCTGTGCGATAAGGCAGTGTAATTGGATTGACAAGTAAGCTGATGACGATGATTCAAAGGCAGAAATTGCCATGTTGGTAAAGAGAACTCAACTAGGATGGCTAATTTTAAACAGCTTTATAAATAATTTTAAATAATATGTACACGTAATGTTTTATTGTAAATAAAAATACAGTATATTTTATGGGGCATTAATAAGACGTACTTCCCAGTTTCTACTGGAGGTTTCTAAAAGTGCGAAATACTATCTGAGGAAAATTACTAGCATTTTCTGTACAGTGTCCTGTACAGTGTCTGCTAAAATGAAGAAACACCAAATTTTTTGTATGTGTAGTACATGGACATGGCACTGGGGCTCACTGCTCACATTCTGCAGTGTGAAAATTCTCCAACAGGGAAAGTTATTAGCAAGCTAGTGGCTGATGTGTGCTTCCAGAGAAAAAATATTCATGAACCCAGTGATACACTTGATCATCCTGATTTTTCAACAAGAAAGTATTGCACTAAATGTTTTAGACATCGTCCAGGCCTAGTGTATACTGCTCACAATAACATTGATTTCTAAAAATATTAAGCAAATCTGAGGTGGTCAATAAGAGAGTTTATGAAATCAGATTACTGCACTTCACCGCTGTACACACACACAGCTGCTGGGTTGGCATACACATAGTAAGCTTATGTACTCAGGCTTGAGGCCTTACTGATAGGAATTTCCTCTTGATGCAGACACACACAAACAACTAACCAACACAGAGACTCACACTCAAACACACATATAAGAGGAATTTAGGCTGATGAGGTTTGATTAGAATTAAAACCTCATCACAGCCCAGTGTGTCTCTATCTACCTCACACACACACACACACACACACACACACACACACACACACACTGCACAGTGCTTTAACATCCCTCACATTCACCCACCCTCCCATTCTACACATTGTGCATGAAGTGGAACCTGCAACCACACACACACACACACACACACACACACACACACAGCAGGAACCCTTATGTACAGTACTGTGCAAATACCACCTTTCATTTATTTAATTTTCAGTCAAAACAGCCATTAAGTACAAGTTTTTGCTTCAAATCTAAAAGAAATCTACAGATGTTTCTTCCATCCTTCCACTGTGAGAATACAGCTCAACATGGTGGGTTTGAAAGGACATGTAGCTGTCAAGAAGCCATTACAGAGAATTTTAGTATCATGCAAACATTTTAATCATCTACATTTGGAATTTCAATATATGTTTATTACTTTTTTTCCTGGCACTGAAAATGATTAACTTGTACTTAATGGCTGTTTTGACTGGAAATGAAATAATTGAAGGTGGTCTCTGAATTTTGCACAGTAGTGTGCAATTATTATATAATTATATACATTGTAGACATTGTACAACACAACACCTATTTCTGAAACATGAGCTTATAGAATCTATTATTTATTCAGAATGATAACACCCACATTCACTCAATTACACACACACACATCAGATTGTATATAAACTGTACATAGCATTGTAGAGACCAAAGTCTTAAATAAAGCTTAGTGGAATCACTTCACCAGTACATGAGCGAGAGAGAGACTGAGGTAGAATTGGGGTAATAGATAGTGTACAGCTAGAAAATGGTCTGTCACAGATTTTAATTCTTTTTTTTACCATGCTTTCTCCAAGATGGTTTTTTTTTTTTATTTGGTGGTTTTGCCTGTCAGAGCTGCGTGTGTGTGTCTGGGAATTTAATGAGCTGTTTATTTGTCACAAAAACTTTGTTCATTTATTTGTTCTTGTATATTTTTTCCCTCATCTTTTTCGACCAGTAACTTTTCCTGGCATTTTTTACAGTTCTGGTTGTCAGTTTGTCCTGCTTGCTGACACAAAAAATATCAGTTAAGAATTTTGGGCTATTCAATATTTTTTTGTTTTTCTTCAGTAAAACGCTGCCTGTGTGTGTGTTTACGAGGAGGTTGACGTGATTTTATAGGTAATTTCTATTTCTTGTGGATTTGAATGCTCACAACTAAAACTGTAGCTAAAGGTTTATCTAGACTGTTTGCATTTCGATAGTGGAGCTTTGTGTGTGTGTGCGCGTGTGTGTGTTTTAAAGCCCTATAATGGACTGATCTGACTGGGTGGAATTTCTGCTGAATCGTGTTACAAATGGCTCCTCTTACACGCTTCCCTTTAAATGTGTTTGCTTTTTCCTGTTTATTTTGTTTTGTAATAAAACAGCAGATGGCATTCAACAACACACCTGAGTTTGTGCCTGCTTTACACACAATCTGAACTGTTGTGCCATTTAAGGGGGAACAGGAAAATTTTAACAAGCAGCTGACATAAAATGAAGCTGACTTAAGACTTCTCTGTTAAAAATACTGGAACATCCGGTTTGCCGTTTACCGCAAACGTGAACGCAGCATTGGCCCAATTTAATCTGTTCTTTGTGGTCAAGACCCCACAAGACACTCACAGAGCATGTATTATTTGGATGTTGGATTATTCTCAGCACTGCATTGACACTGACGTGGTAGTGTAGTGCTCACACACTAGAGGCGCACGCAGCGTCAGAAATGCAGCCCCCCAGCGTATTTCAGTTAGGACGGTGGGTTAGCGCTGTCTAACTACAAACATACCTGTATGGAGAGAAAAAATGCTCCTCTGAACGCAAAAAAGTTCATTTCATTTCAACTATTACTGGAACGATTCTGAGGTGGAGGCACGTTAACCTATAGAAACGTGGATGGGTGGCCCTTGCAGAAGAAGAATGAAAATCCAAGAAGGAGAGGCTTACCAGTAGCAACACCAGAGAACTTGCATTACTACTCTGTAATGTGCACAGAATAGCATACAACATTATAACACCGCTGTTATATTTGTAAATGCTTTGGAACTCGAGTTACAGAAGTGTAAAGCGGCTCCTCATGTACATCCAAGAAGTCAGTGAGCGCGAACAGTTAATGAGCTGTTCCGCTCGCCAACCAATCAGCACTTAGTAACAGTAACGCTAGCATTGCACTGCCCAAAACCCGTTTGCTGTAGAACAAGGAAATATATATGTGAGTTTTCTTTGATTTTTTGTTAGTGAAATACAGCCTTCTACTTTCTAAAATCAGAGGAAAGGTCTGGGCAAGTGATGAGAATAGGAAGTGGCCAGGCTCCTCATAAACTAGCTCTGGAAACTCTGGCTGTACTCTGCTTGGCTCTGTATGGCGTTTCAGTCACTACATGCAAGGGTGTATTCCTGCCTTAGCATATTTGTATTTCCATACATTTACATAAAAGTGTAATTAAGATCAAAATAGTTTTTTAATTTGTTTATTTTTGCTTTGATATTTACACATAAAGCCTTAGATATCATTACAATATGAAAATTCTAGCTGTTGTAGGCTTACTTAACTTTGTTGTATGAAATAGCCTGTCGCCCACTTACCAAGACACTGTAATACACCAATAAATTGGCCATTATATGCATCTGAAGCAGTATCTCTCCAGCCATAGGTTAGGTTATTATAAAGCATTATTGCCATAGGTATAAATATCACAGATAAAGTACACAACATGCTATACACCTGTACAACTGTGTACCTGCAATACACTGAAAAAAAATCTATAAACAATGGTTTAAAAAATCAGCATTAGGTCTACCAAACAAAACCAATAATTGTGAAAGTAGATTTTCTCAATGATGCTAAAAATTATAATCTAAAACTAGCTAAAAACTATAGTCATTTAATTTCTTAGAAATACAGCCTTTACAATTTTTATCATTCAACAGTTTTACCAGCTCAACTAGTTACTCTCCCATACAGTATTTTACCGTAATAATAACAGTGACCACATTCAACCACATTCTATTTAAATGAACAACGTTAGTGTTAAAATACAGTGTATGTGTGGTTTGTTTACATGTATTTAACCTTTTTTAAAAATGGTATTGATCATGAAATTTTACAATACACTGACATTATTTTTTTATTTGTTTGTTTGCTTGTTTATACAGTGTTTAGTTACCCTGTACTCTGGTTGTTGTGCGGCGTGTTGGAGTCTGATACCTACTGAGCTCAGCTTTGTCGACCCCTGGTGGCCGAATCAGTGACCGAATCAGGCTCCCATTTTCTGCACATTTTATTGAATTATAGCGTTTGTTTGTTTTGTGAAACTCAAAAAAGACGTCAGTCTCATTTCCTATTTAATTCACAATAAAATATGCCAGCAACTGTCGAATTTAAAAAGTCTTTGTTAAAAGAGAAATGCATCTGAAAACAGTAGAAAAGACAAGCTATTATTATTATTATTATTATTATTATTAGTAGTAGTAGTAGTAGTAGTAGTAGTAGTAGCAGTAGGAGTAGATTGTAGTGTGTAACTATTAACTAACAATATGTAAATAATTAACTAATTACTATCAAGTAAATCTTTCTGAAAATATTCAGAATCGGTTTTTGCTTTAATATTTGTATTTTTAAGTTAAATATGTAGTTTCGATAGTTTATAAGACATAACTATTAAGTTTCTAATTAAATTGTCTTCAGTTAACGATCTAATTTACTACTTTACTTGGTTTATTATTACGGATATTTGAAGTGGGAACGTAGTGTTAGAGTGCTATGAGTCTTACGGGCCACATTGAATGATGCACACTTGAATAGATTTTCACGTGTTGAGGAAAACTGAGTGAAGAAAAATGAAGAAAAATAAAACAAAGGGGATGAAAACAGGGTTTAAAGCCAAACCTGGAGTCAAAAGGAGAGAATATAAACGTGTTGTCGTGTTCGACGACAAGGAGCGCCAGTAAGTTCGAAGAGAGAGTGAGGACGGAAAGAGAGAAACGAAGTGAACGTTAGCTCCGGAAGATCACTGTTGCACCATTTAATGGGAACCCAAAATTCGAATTCTTTCTGTGTTTCATTATTTTTCAGAGATTTTCTCACCGGATTCCACAAAAGGAAGATGGAAAGGAGGAAGACGGCGATAGAGGAGATGAAGAACAAACTGAAGGAGGAGCAGAAAATAGTTCGAGAAGAGGTGAGAGATGTAGAGCTGATAAAGAGACACTCGTATTGTTGATGGAGAAACTGTACCTGAACATAAATGTAAACACGGTGTTACTGTTTACAGAGACACAAAGAATATCTGAGAATGCTGAAGGAGAGGAGAGAGGCTTTAGGTATGTTAAAGTCTGTATGCACGAGGGCTCGATAAGGGTTGTGTAGGTGAGAGGGTTCTAGGAGCTCTGGGTTCTTGATCAAGTTTGTTTATGGGGGAGTTCTTTATAAGAGGTTTGTGTGTGTGGAGGGGGCTGTAAGGTTTGTGTGGGGGTTTATTGGTAAGATTTATGTGGGAGTTCTGTTATTTATTTATTTATTTTTTGGTGAGGGGGGGGTTCTTACTAAAGTTTGTGTCTTTTTACTTTTTCGAAGCATTTGAAGTTAACTTAAACACTACCTGTCTGTATCTACAATACGTAATGTTGTTCAGAGGAGGCTGATGAACTAGAGGACGCAATCAAAGCTACCACCGAGAGTGTGCAGTATGATCACCCGAATCACACAGTTACCGTGACAACCATCAGTGACCTCGACCTGACCGGTACTCGGTTACTGGAGCCTTTGACTTCTCAGGTAAAGCAGCAGGTTGTAAGTGTGATATTTCAGTGAAAAAAAATCTTTCCCTTGTTTAAATATATAGTCAATCAGCCACGACTTGTTTGGTGTCTGAAGACTTGTTTGGTGTCTGAAGTGTGCTTGGTTAGTTTTTCACTGGAGGTTTGAGGCTAATGTAGCTAACACGTGATGGAAGCTTTATACCCACCAAATAGCATGGTGTTAACTGTACGCCAAAATTGTCATGTGTTCACCTCAAACTGCATCATGTTTTTAAATTAAAAAAACAAATTTCAAACACCAAATGTATCTTGGTTAATCAGCTACAGTTATGCTAAGGGGGAAATTGTGGAATTTGGAATTTTTCAAAACATTCTTTCTGTGTCTGAAAGTTACCTGTTTTTATGTATTATCTTAAAATAGATATTTGTAAGTATTGACAACAGTCTGTGCCACCCTACAGGAAGAGAGTGATGATGGAAAAAAATGTGATGAAGAGGAGAAAGTAGCAGCATTACCGAAAAAACCTGGAAATCCCTTGCTTTCTAAAAAGTATTTTCTTCCTTTTTATTTGAGCTACTTTTGAAGTATTATTAGAAATTGAAGAAAGTCTTCTATTGATCTGTCTCATTTCAGTTTATCAGTGCTTCACTGGTATTAATGTCAAGTTACACTACCACCGGAGAAATTATCATGCATGAAATAAAGAAGTATAAAAACAGAACATTAGAAAATAAATTGTTTGGCAAGATTATTCGACTAATTTTCTCTTTTGCTCTGTCTCTGTTTCCATCTCTGTCATTCTAGAATTAAGTCCATTTCATCCTCGCTCCAAGCTTTCACTAAACAGAAGAAGAAGAGGAGGAAAGGTAAACAGGATGTCAGGGGGTCGAGACATCAGGTCGAGAGGAATTCATTGAATGTCATGGGCAACAAGCGCCGACTGGGGCGATCTACGAAGAAGCAGCGGCGCAGACGCACAGGCAGGAAGGGGCAGAGTCAGGACTGAAGGGTTTAAAGCTGTACAAGAGGATGAATAATTACAGATGGATGTGTTCGAGACAATGGCACTTTAAAGGCATTTGAGGTGGAATTTGTTGTGGTGAAGTTTGAGCCTCCACTACAGCAGGGGGTACTCTTTATATTTTTCCACTTAAGTGAGTAAAACTGCAGATTGTAATGGAGGCGTAATGAAGAAGCCCACCCACTCCTGTGTAACACATTGTTGTGTTTCAGCGTTTACAAAGAAGCTGCCTGTGTTCTCAGAAAAATGGACCAACCTCCCCAGCCCAGACGACACTGTTGAATGCATTTGGGATTAATAGCAGAAAATATTTCTATGACTAAACTTTGGAGATGTGGAAAAACATCCCTGCAGATTTGTTTGAAAAACTGAAACTAAGTCATCTGAATGGAAAGAATGGAAGCTGTAATAAAGGCAAATGGTAGACACACTGAACAATGAAATTTTGCTATTAAATTCACTTGTTGAGGCTTCTTTGTCTATCTCTGTTAAATGTTTTCTGCTGTTTCCTGATGTTGAAAAATGAACAAATTGTACTTAATGGCTGGAATTGATTGGAAATTAAATAAAAGTGTTAACCACGACATGCAACAGAAAGGATCTGCAAGAATGGCATTAATTTCTCCCCATGGAGGAAAAAAGTGATGCATAACTTCAGAGGTCTATGAACAAGCAGCTTCTTTGTTTCACTTGTTTCAACTAAACAGTTACAGCTTCTTGACAGTTACACATCTTTTTAGATTCAAAGTGCCGAGATGAGAGCTGACAGTGTAAGAATAGACAGAGGTATCTGGATTTTTGAGACCTGAAGTAAGAGTGGAGCTTGATTTTCTCTACTGCCAACACTTGGTTAAGTTGCTTTGGCAGTAGTAGCCTACAGTTTGAGAAACTAGTGATGTGTAATAGCAGTATACTTTTCATGTTACACTATTTCAGTGTGCAGGAATGTTGGGTTGCTTATAGCGTGAATGTAGCAGTGTTCATATTTTGACAACTTGGAGAGAAAAAAAAAGACATTGGACATAATTTATTGCCTTTGGAACATTTTCATTTATCACAATGCACAATGGTAGTGATCTTTAAAAAATGCCATTTACTTCTAAAGAGAAAGGATGCTTTTTTATATGGGCATGATGCCAGTTCTGTTAGCATAGCACATTACATGGAGCAGAGGCTTTCAGGAGCTCCAACTGTAGTAGCGTAAAGAGGAATTTTATCAGTTTATTTAACCATGGTAGTACAGTCAGGTCTCTCTGTTGTACATTAAATGTAGAACCTGTACTCTCACTCTGATGTGAGCTACAGTCTCAAACTGTTCACCAGCAAGGTGGACCCTCAGGAGAGCATCAGAAATAAATATGTATATATAAAATTTATTTTCTAACCCAGGAGCTCCATTCATTGCTAATGGAAGCCAGTTTCTTTGTTTTCCTTAGTTTTTCTCTTGCTTTATTCTGATTTTCTCAAACTGAATGTGTATGATTAAACATTCCATTTTGTCACTTCAGAAACAATCATAACTCAATCATAACCCGAAACTACCAAGTGTTTCTATAGTGACTCTTTTGGTAGTGACAATTTTAGCTACTTTTGAGCAGAAATATAATACAAAAAAATCATAATATTTTTCATTAAAACACAAGTTTATTGGCAGTTCTTAATGTTACACACTGACACTGATTTTCAGACTTTGGGACACATTTTCAACACAATGGGATCTAATCAATCACAGGGATAGGGATAGGCATGCAGTCTCACTTCCTGCTCTAAAATGCAGGGGTGTGGCTAAAATAAGGCTCTGCCTATTTACTGAAACGGTTAGGATGTTTTTCCTAATTAAATGCATGATATCATATACATCTTTCAGCTTTACTTTAAAAGAAATGAAAAAATCTTTGAAGCATTGGAAAAAATATGTAAATTATGGTTTGGGACAGGCACCTCCCAATAGAAAGTACACTATAAATGATGATTTGTACATATTTAGCTTATTACTCTCTCAGTTAATGTTTTGGGTTTAAACACCTCATAACACTCTCCCTTTTAAAATATTAACATCTGAAAATGCAATTTTTACTGTGGGACCACACTTTGAACTAATATGGTATAATGGTCCATATAAAACAAAATTCTTGTGTCAAAAAGTGTTGACTCCATCACTGTACATCAGCAGACAGGGGAAAACATATTAACCAATAATGTCATGTTCCTCCACCTGTCATGCTCACAGACTCTCTCTAATACTGTGTTTCATATTACAAAAAGAAAATGTTCTTGGATTCATGTTGACTTTTAATGTATTTTGGTTGTTAACCCCTTTACTCTCCTATCTACATAACTTACATATTAGTTTGATAGTAGTTACTAAACGATTAGTGATCAAGATATGAAAACTGAACAATAAGCTTGGTGTACAGTTCAGCTGGGGGGACAAAATGTCCAAAAAATGTTAACTTCCTTGGAGGATTAAAAAAACATTAAGCTTGACTTAGTTATAACACTTAACTCCATTTTTAGTTACAAAAAAATTTGGGGTCTTTTTGTTTGGAAAAAACTGAGTTAACAGTCAATATGACAGTGGCACTTTAATAAAGTGGTTAAAGAATGGATGAACAGCTTGTTGCTGTGGGAGATCGTCTGATCAGTTGATTGATTAATTAATTGGTGTGTGTGCCATCTGCCTGGTGGCTGGTTTGGTTTCTCTTTTGTAAAGTAGCTGACATTTAATCTGTCCCTCAGGCCTCAGAGCCAGCATGTAGAAACACTGAGCAGCAGCCATTGTAGTGGCAGCCAATAGGACGTGTGTGTAAAGATGAGTAACAGTGGGGAAGAGACACGTTGCTGTCTTCCTGCACTCTAAATACACACACACAGCCTGGAGAGAGCTGCAGCAGGTAAGAGTAATGAACAAACTACATTAGTCATTAAAATGACACTTAGCTCATGTATAAAGTTTTGTCTTAATGGCTTATGAATGCTGTAGGACATGAGTATGCTCTGTGTTCAGTCTGATGTATCTGTGTGTAGAGTGTGTGGTGTAACAGAGCTGGTATGTATAATGTTTCACTATTTAGTTTTCACTCTTAAAGCAGCACAAACTCAACTCACTGTCACATCAGCCTGGTAATGAAGGAATGAAGCATTTTAATGTTGAAGTGTAATCAAATTAGGTGTCAGTCCAGTCAGACATTACAATCTCTACTCATATCTCCTAAAACTAGCACAGAAATGCATATAATGCTATTGATTTAGTTTATTTTCTTTGTTTATTGTTATACAGTACACTGTAGATTAGATTGCTAATAGGTAGGGGAGAGCACAGCACAACCTTACATATTACAATAATTTAAAAATTAGAAAATAAAACAAAATATTAAATATGCCATAATTTCTGCACACTTTGTCACATTTTATTATTTTTTCCCCAATGTTACATTCAGCAAATAAACAATAATTGTGCATTAAAATAAGCAGAAGCAAGTTCTCTATATAGACTCCAGTACCCCTGTGACCCAGAAGGATAAGAGGCTTAGACAGTGTGTGCATGTTTGTGAGTACGTATTAACTTATTTTTACTTAGAAAATCAACATTATTTTACTGGGGCGCCCAAACTTTTGTATACAACTATAATCACCAGATAGGTCTCAGCTAGAAATGAAGATCTACAATTTGTGAACAGTTCAGCCAAAAATGGCATGAGGGCAAATGGTGCAACTTACCCAATAGGTGAGGTTGAAAGGGAATTCCACCAATTCTTCAAAATTTCTGTATAATTTAATCTTAGAGAAGTGAAATGTTATGTTCTAGAAAAACTTGCTGACTCACATGTCTTGTTCAAAGGTGGTGATAGGAACCAGGAGTTGTGATATTTCTATGTTGTTTGATTCAGATAAGCTCCCCAACCTAAATATATAAAAAAAATATCTGCATCAAATTAAATATGATCAGTGAAATGAGGCTGTGGCTAATTTACTTTCAACCACAGCATAGAAGAGCAAAGATTCAGCATGCTAAAACATGTATAGCATATGTTTGATGGATCTGTGAATGTAGGATGTACTGTAGCTTGGCTAACTCTCACTGTGTATGTATATCCAAAACAATGCTACATTACAACCATCAAGACAGTAATTAAAATAATATAGGTGTGAATTCTGTAACACAGTTAAAAAGAAAAAAACTTGCTTTCAAGGGACAAAACAGTATTCAGGGTGAATTGTGAGAAATATCTGTCCATGTCAAAATTTGCAGATGACATATCCAAGGGATTATGAGAAAATGTAAGCAGATGCAAAAAAGTGTTCTACTTTACTCTCTAAAAATAAACTTAAAATTAATCTGAAGTAGTGTGTGTCTAACAAAATTCTGTTACATTTTGCTTTGTATGGAAACATGGATGTGCATGTTTTCTTCGCTAGTTTTTTCCTTGATAGGTTATTTCCTTTGTTTTAACGAGATCTTATAATATTCATGTCATCACGGCAAAAAACAAACGTTGTTTTCTTGAGAGCTCAAGTTATTAATATCATTATCACAATGTAACATTCCTTGTGATAGTATAAATAACTTGAAATTAAAATAGCTTGTTATCATGGAGTAAAAAAATAAAAACATGCAAATCCATGGCCCTTTAGGGCTTCTGTATCTTTGAGTACATGGACTACCATATTATAAAGATCTTCATAAAAGGTTCTTTGCATGGTGAAATGGCTATTTAGATTGATGGGAAATGTGTTTTCTGGTTTATGTTTCTATAAAGAACTTTGTTGAAAATGGTTCTATAAAGCACCAAAAAGGGTTCTCCTTTGACTGTAACAATAGCAGAACCCTCTTTGGTGCTATACAGAACCATTTTCAAAAAGGTTTTATATGGAACCATACAACACATTCCCTATCCATCTGAAGAACCATTTCACCATGCAAAGAACCATTTAAGCATGAAATGGTTCTACATAGAACTCATGCTGAATTACATGGGGCATAATTGTTAACTCATGTCATTGGTTTCTGAAGGTAAGCATGGAGAAAGGAGACTGTAGACAAGTGTCTCTCAGAAGAGGAATAGGTAACAGGCAAGACTGTCATTAAATAAAACTGATTTACACAATGACAGACTTGCCTATTGGAAATGTAAAAAATTCTGACAATGGATTCTATCAGAGACACTGTAACCAGCTCAATTCGAAACCCCCCAATCCCCCCCCCGTGATGTTCAGAAATATTTGTTTCTGCTTTTTTCCGTACTCACTCAAAAAAAGCTGAAAATAGTAGAAAGCAGTATTGTGCCAAGTGATATAAAACAGGAGGCTAAAAACTGCATTTTTCAATAGAGGGATGTGTGACAGGTAAGTCTGTTCTAGTGCAAAGTCAATTTATACAATGTCAGATTTACCTAATGAGATTTTATAACAATTTGTACAGTAGATGCTAGATGCAGTAGACATTTTTTTGGTCTGAATTTCACTGAAA